GAGCGTCGTGAGAACTATTTGTTGGTGGCTTGGACCCTGCAACATTTAATTTTGATCTCCCTTTCCAAAATCGTCACTTCCGACCTTCTTCATTTATCTGATATTTTTAGAACCTCCAATCCTGACGCCATTTCCTGGTCTCTACACCTCTCTCCTTCTGCCGCACTAATGAATCTTTCGGCTATGGTTACAATTTTTCTCTGCTCTCCAATCCCTTGTTCATCCTTCCCTAGCTTGCTCTGTTATCTGGACTCGTACTCCTGCAAGATTAATGACTACATGCTACAGCCAGAATATCATGGTCCTGGCTGGTTCTGCTGTGGGGCCCCGTTCGCTGGTTTGTTTTCTTCTATCCATGTGTTTCTATTTGGGAGCTCCAGGGGTGGAATCTCCCAATACAGGTTGTCGCGGCAGAATGCTATGCCCAATTCCTCACATCCTTTCTGCTTCCTTTTTCTTCCGCCTGTTATGACAGCGCATGCGACTATCACCATCTTGGATTTCGGGTCTACTCCCAATACTTGGTTCAAACGCAAGATTCCTCAAAAGGCTCTGTTGCAGTGCATGTGAGAGCCTATCGAAGCCCGCAGCTGTCCGGTATCCTTCACCGCATATGGTGGTCGTACTGAGTATACGTCGAGAGTAAGAACATATGTGGTGGCCTGTATGTCTGGCACCCAGGTAGGGTGCACTTCTCGGACTTGAGGGACAATATTGAAGGGTAAGTGGCGACTGTTCATGACAGTGGTTTGGAGTGGAAATATTTTGAGCTCAGGGCCTTTATATCTGCTGGCTGTGGTTCTTTTTGACTCGGATGTTATTCTTAACCATACTTTGGGGGCGCATTTCTTGGCTAATCTTGTCTCTAGACCTCTGTCTCTTCGACTTATGTGCCGCCAGGTTTACATTTTCTTGTTGTTTGTGGCATGCGGCCATGTCGTAGCATCGGCCTTGTATCATGTAAGGTCTAGTATACTTGCTGGATTGTCCCGATCTCATGTTCTCCCCCGTAGGACGACTGCTATTCAACTTTTTGTGTTTACTCTGATCTTCATTGCTGGGATGATCACTGCTGTATTCCCGAGTGCTGGTCTCAGTACGTTCTTGTTCCTTCTTTTATATGCTCTTCTCTTACCCCTTAGCTTGTTGTCCTCGCTCTGTGTTAGGACATGGAAATTATGATGTACATAGGCGCGAAGATTCTAACGAATGTCCCCGTTGTGATGAGATTATGGGCTGGTTCATTGTTGATACAGTGGAATGATTATTCTGTGTACCTAGTTCCGATGCACTGTAATTCATATGGGGGCCATGTTGCTGGATACTCGGTCTTATCGTCCTCCATGTTGTCGCTTACTTCCATTTGTTTCATGTTCATCAGTTCGGTGGTCGGCTCGCCCAGTAGTGGTCTTGACAACAATGAGTGCGTGGATGAAAAGGAGGTAAGGTCTACTGTGTACTTTCTGCCCTCTGCTTCCTCGTTGACCCCTCCTATCCCGACTTTCCGCGCACTCAGGAGCTGAGTTCCAGCGTTTATTGTAGTCGGCATTGAGGCACCGCTTACTGTCATCTCGCTGTATGGGCCTCGGTGCTGGAAGAGAGAAGGAGGCGAGAACCACTCTGTTGTCTCAGGAGTTCTGACAAAACCTGAATCAAGATGCGAAACCACGGGCATGGCAAGATGTTCCTCTTGGACGAGGATGAGGATGGGGCCAAGTCTGGGATCCTCAGCGGGATGACACTGGACCACCACTGTTTTGGCCGGAAGCCCAGGCAGTTGTCCATGGTTCGAGTGAGGGATTATACGGATGGATATTCCCCCGTGACAGGAATATTCGACTCCGGCTTCCAGTTGGACTCATCGTCCTGGGTCCAGCAAAAGAAATCGGCGAAGGAGGAATTGTCCGTCCGCCTGAAGTACTCGGTCAAACAGGATCATGTTCAGAACGTTCTGAGGATGATGTTTGGCTGATGAGGTGTCAAGGATTCCGGGGGCGTGCGGGGGCATGATAAAAACTCGTTTTTGGGTTAGAAGGGGCGTATCAAACGAGTATTCAGATGGCGGTGGTGGCAGAGTTTGTGGGAAGGAGTGTAATTGCTTGAATCCTTCTTTGGGGTGGCTGCCCCTTTGAATAGATTTTCTAGCAGTCGGCGGAATAGCGGCATCCAATTTGGTCAATGAAAATACATGTCAGTCCTGATCCCGAATGTCAGATCCCATCTTTTTCACTGCAGTTGATCAGGGAACTCCATCCAATGAAAACTCAAGGGCCTCGTGTTTTTGTGCTGAGACGACAATTTATCTTGATGAGACTTTCTGGGATTTTTACTAGGCTGCTAAGGGCTATCCTGTTCGTCGGCCAGTATGTGCCAATACCCTCCTTCCTCTTCATTGGTCCCGTCCGAGTCCACTGCGGTTGTATCTTCTGGGAATTCCTCACCCTCATGTGCACGCTCATAGTAGGCGTATAGCACTCCGTATTGAGGCCCTAGATCCTGTGCCGGTCCTCGGTCACATACCGTTGCCTCCAATCCATTGCCTGTATACCAGGGCGCCTGAATACTTCCCTCCATAAAGGATCTGTCCAAGAGGTAGCTGGCGGCCAATAGAATCCGCGAACGAGGAAATCCCTCATCATAATATTCTGCCTCGATCACCGTACACCAGGGCTTCAGGGTGCTGCGACCAAGGTTCCTCTTCAGAGTTACTGTGTGATAGTCCCCATGCACGAGTCGGATTTGTCTGTCTCCATAACATCCCATCCTGGCTTGGACCCAGAATGGCGTAGTGTGGGGTTTGTACGGACTGGAATAGAACACAGTCGGCGAGGGCAACGGGGACGCATAAGGGAGGGGTCCGGTGTGAATCCGGAAGAACAGGGATGGGTAGTTCTTGGGCCAGCATCGCTTGGGACACTTCTGGGCCTGGTGAGATTTGTCGAAAAGGGCGAGCATAGGGTTCTAGTTCTGCACTCGGTGCATAGTCTGGCATAAAAGGGGAGAGTGGGGCAACTGATGGAATTTCTGTTATTGCTTCCTGTGTGTTTCCGGGCTCGACAACTCGGCGTGCCCAAGCGACAAGGGGATCGTGTTGGAATATGTGTTTGGACTATGACATTCTCGCTTACTTAGTTGTAGTTACTATAGTTACCGGTCACCTGACCGATCAGTCATGCTGACTGATATGCTTATTGAGCATTCCCCATTTGATTATCATGCTTACTGATCTACTTACTCATGCTTATTCATGCTTAGTGATCACCTTACTCATGATTACTCATCTACCTATCTACTGTATATATAAGTAGCCTAGCTTAGACTGGAGTCCTCAGTTTCTCACTGTTGACTTCAGGTTAGTACTTACTGCACATTGCTCAATACCAGAGTTTCTCACTGTTGACTTCAGACCACTGTGCTTGCCTGTACTAACAGATCGGTGGTGGGGGCTCTGAACTCCTGCCCTTCGGGACTATCCTCATTCCAAATCCAGGCCTGGTACAATCCCCTCTGGTCCTGGATTATATCCTCGTACTGTGGGTCGCTGGCGTTGTAGTTGAGAGTCATAGTGAGAAAATAAATGGATAACATATCTTAAATATAGACCGCTTTTACTTCTCCGCCATCTTTTGATCTATCAATCTTCCTCTTTGTCGTCTCCCAGCCATCCAGTCTTCATAAACCAGTGATCACGAGTGATATATGGCAGAAGCCGGAATGCGGCGACATTGTTCTGAGGGTAAGGTGTACCATCCAGTTCATTGAGAATGTAAGCGCCTCCTCGTGTTTTCCGTTCGACCTCATATGGGCCCAGATATCGTGGCTTAGTTTTGCGGTCCAGTCCTGTTTCTACCTGGGTATTCCGCATAAGCACTAGCTCTCCTGGCTTGTAACTTTCTTTCTGCAGTTTCTTGATAAAACACTTCTCAAACTGCTCCTTGGACTTGAATCGGGCTGCTTTCAAAGTTGTGGCAGCTTTCTTGATATCTGTGTCATGTTTTCGAAGCTGCCTGGCTCGAAGGGCTAATAGCTCAGAGGTACTTATGCCGGCCTGGAATCCTTCCACCAAAAAGGTAGCCTCTGTCAAATCGAACAGTAGAATGGGGTCGGTGGCATGAAGGAGTTGATAAGGTGAGTACCCAGTAACTCTCCTGACTGTTATCCTGTCCGCAAACACGATTTCGTACAAAAGATCGGGCCATTGATTAAGGTGTCCTCGGCAAGCCTTCACCAGTGCTTCCCACATAATAAAGTGCCCTCTTTCTACAACCCCATTGGCGTGCTTGTTGTATGGAGAATTTCTGACTTGTGGTACACCCATTTTATTCATTAGATTCTCGAACGCTTGTGAGACTTCGGCCCCATTGTCGGTGGTGACTTGCAATGGTACACCATACCTGCAGTAGATGTATTGCCAAAAGAAATTTGATAAGGTGCGTGTGGTGCATACCTTCAAAGCCTGAGCTTCGCAGACCCCTGTCAGGTCGTCTCGGGCAGCCACAATGTACTTATATCCTTGGGCCTTTAGCATGAACATCACATCTATATATATTTTGCTGAAGATGGTAGTTGGTGCCGAAACCGTAAGCGGAATCTCTTTTCTTGTGAATCTGACATTGGTGACAAGAGCTTAGATGATGCTGCACATCGGCTCGGAGGTGTGGCCAGAATACTCGCCTTCGTAGTGTCTCGTAGGTGGCTTCCAACTTTCTATGCCCCAGATCTTTGTGCACTGTGAGCCATCACATTGTGATAGCTCCCGACGTGACCTCAAAACACCGAACTCTGAGAACAACACCTTAAGCCATCAACGTAAAAATGATATCCGGACCCAACTAGTGGCTTGACGGAGAATCAAACTGCGAACCTTCCATCAACCGATATGGATATGCGAATGAGGTACACGGGATACTTTACCATTACGCCAACAAGCCATTCAAGAATTGAGCTCAAGACCACCAAGGACCGACTCCGAGTTAAAAATGTTATCTGGACCCAATCCATGGCTTGACGAAGAATCGAACTCCGGACTTTCCATCAACCGATATATAATACAGCAATGACACGGAGTGTGTTACCATTACGCCAACAAGCCATTCGAGACTCGAACTCAATGACCACCAAGGACCAACTCACGAGTTAAAAATCATATCCCGACCCAATATGGCTGGACGGAGAATCGAACTCCAGACTTTCCGTTAAACAATATGGGAACGTTAGGTACATGGAGCGCGTTACCATTACGCCACCAAGCCATGACCGGACTACCAAAGGGAAAAAGAATGGTTATCGTCAAAGGCTTGACGAAGAATCGAACTTCGGACCTTCCGTGATATGCGAACGTTACATATCGCTATGGAGCGTGTTACCACTATGTCAACAAGCCATACAAGCGGCCGAGACGATCGCTGCAAAAAAGAAGGGTTTCCGTCAAACGGCTTGACGGAGAATTGAACTCCGGACTTTCCGTCAATCAATATAAAAATGCGCATTATTACGGAGTGCGTTACCATTACGCCACCAAGCCATAGGAATCAAATGACCAGCCAAGACGATCACTATAAAAAGAAGGGTTTCCGTCGGAATGGCTCAACGGAGAATTGAACTCCGGACTTTCCATCAATCAATATAAAAATGCATTAGATCATCACGGAGTGCGTTACCATTACGCCACCGAGCCGTAGGAATCGAACGACCAGCCAAAATTATCGCCATGAAAAAGAAGGGTTTTCTTCATAATGGCTCAGCGGAGAATCGAACTCCGAACTCTCCATAAAGCATACCGCGAACTACATAGGAATGCGGAGTGCGATACCATTACGCCACTGAACCGTTCAAAAACGCGCCCTACCTTCTTACTCGATGGACAAAAAGAACGTAAGGCCCATTGGAGATTCGAACTCCGGTCCCTCCATTATTTCAGTTTCCCGCCAGCTACGCGAACAGAATGTGTTACCACTATGCCACCGGACCATGTGTGCGAGCAATACGAAGGTCCGGTAAGAGGCGCACAAAAAAGGAATGGAAAAGAGGGATGGCTCAACGGAGGATTGAACTCCGGACTTCCTGCAAAAGACGCGCTTGTGCAAGAACCGTGGCAGGATGTGTTACAGTTACGCCATCGAGTTGTGAATACCAAACGGCCCGAAAGGATGGAACAAGAACTCCGGGTAATCAAAAAAGGTGGGTAGCATAGGGAAAGGGCTCAACAGAGAATCTAACTCCGGACTCTCCGTAAGTCAAACACTGGGGTGAAAGGATATGGAGTGCATTTCCACTACACTATCGAGCCGTCGCAAACGGAAGCCGGATAGGAGGAGAGTTAGGACTGGACATGGAGTGTCCGAGACTTGTTAGAACAGGCAAGCACAGTGGTCTGAAGTCAACAGTGAGAAACTCTGTTATTGAGCAATGTGCAGTAAGTACCAACCTGAAGTCAACAGTGAGAAACTGAGGACTCCAGTCTAAGCTAGGCTACTTATATATACAGTAGATAGGTAGATGAGTAATCATGAGTAAGTGGATCAGTAAGCATGATAATCAAATGGGGAATGCTCAATAAGCATATCAGTCAGCATGACTGAGCAGTCAGGTGACCAGTAACTATAGTAACTACAACTAAGTAAGCGAGAATGTCATAGTCCAAACATATCCAAACACATATTCCAACAAGACTAGGGCCAATAAGTCCGGGTTGCGGAATCAGTGCCTGACTGAAGATGGTGCGGGAATGAGTCACAAGTGAACTCCGGGGCAGAGGACCGTGTGAGCAAGCAGGTCTGGGACACAAAGGAACAACTCCGGCACAGCCTTGGGCTGGGGTATAAATACTACAGCTAGTCTACCAAAATATCATCTCAGTTTCGGCCCACATCCCTTAGCCAGCTTAGGAGTAGCTAAATATCTGCCCTGAACATCACCTAGAGGTCACCCGGAGTCGAGTTACACAGTAAAGCGACCTCGGTACTCCCTCGCCACCGTCAGACAGCGAACGGAGTTTATATTTCGGCATAAAAAGTTCAGCGCCGAATAAATTGAACCGTCTATTCCTCCCTTACGTCAGTAGGGCAGTGAAATCTCTCAAACAGCACAACGAGGTCTTCGGAGTTCGTGTGTAGCTGCTAGCTAAGGAAGTTGGTGGTGCAGAGCCCGCAGGAAGTCGCCTTCAGCAAGCGAACGGGTGAGAAGTAGAGAGAGAAAACTCCGTAGAGGCACAAAGAGGGGTAAAAGGAGGAGAAATTGCAGGAACATTACGGCGAACACATAAATCCCCCGGTCTTACGATCTACGACTCAAAGATACTTCGGACGACTGTGGTTCGTGGTCCAGGAAGCCCCCAAATCCATATTTCACCTCGGACTTGACAAATTGGACCCCGCATCGCCTTCTGAAGCTCCTCCCCAAGGAAGTGTGGAACAGATTCAATCTCCGTTAACCCGTGAAGGCTAACTAGGCATCGGAGCTCGCTTGGTCCACCCTAGCTAGCAGGATTTGAACGGACTGTTCAATCCTTGTACGGATATCCCCACCAATATTATTTAAACCTCCCTACGTACTTGTCTACCGCGACAGAACAAATTCCCCCTAGAGGACGAGCAATTAAACATAGCCCAGATCTCCCCACCATCTGGCAGTTTAAAGCACCGCAGTCCGCATCACATCGTCCAGTGTTTGGACTGTGTGCAGCACTGTCATGCATTGAGTCCGCTACATTGTTTGCAGGTATGTTAATAGGCTCAACGGAGTGATGGTACTGACTGGACTGGTACTTGTGATATTAGGAATGGAACGGGACATACTGGGTCAGCGTAACACTGTTGCAGCTAGGCCTAGTGTACCAGCTGGGGCACGGCGGGCACCCATGCTCTCGTGCCGCCCCGACCAAACGGATGATGGTGGTATTGGATGTCACTGGCATTTATACCGTGAAATATCAATATTGCAGGTGTGACGACTCCAACCGTGCGCTCAACCTGGAACAGCTCCTTCGAAACCAGTGGTACCCGGCAATGACTGTGGATCCGGCGACATGCACGATGTTCGCTGTCCTGGATTTGTTTCGACTTCTGAGCGTTGTGGGGAATATTAACGCCCATGATTTTGTGGGCACGCTGGAACGAGAGACAGACCTGTGTGGGGTGAAGACAGCTGAGACGAAGGCCAAGGGAGTCCTGGTAAGTTGCAAGGTATCTGGATAAAGCAGATACTGACGTGAATTGACCACAGGATTGTTATAAAGCATTTGTGCAAATGGGGCACCAATGGGCTTTCCTGATGCAGGTGATTCGAGCAGGCCAGGCGCACGATCCAGCAGGGATCCACAATACAAAGAATGGGGAATGCGCAGTGAAGTGTTGGACGTGTCCCCATGACAGGATCAACATCCCTGAGGGTTGGTGGGACATGGCGGCTGAGTATTGGTACGTCACCCTCGGGCACTGGGGATCACTTTGCTGACAGTTCAGCAGGTTCATGTATATGCTTCTACTTGCTATGGACGCAAATTTCCGTCTCAAGAGCCGACTGCGAGTGAACGAGCATGTCGACCTGCCGCTTGGTGACGGATGGGGTCACTTGGTCGAGGAGCCGCCTTACAAGGAGGATTTGAAAGGCTACGTCTCGGAGAAGGATGTAAGCCCTCAGTAGCATGCAACTGATAAAAGCTATACAATGGTCACGTGCCACCAATTGATCCCGGGTGAAACACGCAAGTAAGTACAAACATGTTGCTTGGGGTCTGGAGGTGTGTTTCGAGTCAGGATGACTCGGATACACAGCCTTGGGAGTCACAGGGGACAGGATATGCACTAAAAAGCTGGGAGCACAATAGTTGAACATTGTACATAGCTGCGGCCATGAGGCTACCGAGTGATTTGGGCAAGGAGTTGTCTGTCCTGGGACAGTAAAATCCCTCAAATAAAGTGGAGGTGACATGCTCCTGGGGATTTCCTACCAAGGATTGCAAGGGATGACATTTATTTACTGGTACAAACATTTAGGGTATAAAAGAGTGACAAGATGTATGAGGTAGACACACAATACTACACCCGGGTTTAACCACCTGTGTCTTTTGGACTCGCTCTCTTGCTTATTTTGAATGGAACAGAACAGATTTTATTGAACAGGTGTTTTTGAACGTACGGCTATTAACTGAATTGCAACAGTCATATACTTTGGCTGGAGCCCCCGAACTTGTGCGCTATACAAACGTGTTGGATGGTGGAACTTTTTTGGATTAGGACGGAATGGGTTTTGGGGTTGATATTTGCTGCTGGTCAGCATTTGGTTGGGTTGGGTTGATTTTGAGTTCCACTGTTACACGCACCTAGCGTTTCAACAGTCACAAATTGAGGACAGGGCAGCTGTCGTCATCAAAACTATCAAAAACAGCCCAAAATGGTAGAAAAAATGTCCGCACCCTGAGTTCCGCAAAGAGCTGTAAATTATAATAAACGATTGAAGTGCTGTATAAATAGATCTGTGAGCTTGTTAAGGATTTGAAAATTGTCAAATGATACTACCTTTACTCCCATATACTAATGGAATGCTTAGGACAAGCTATGGATGAAGACAGAGTTATTTGGCCAAATTTGTAAAACCCACCGGTTTGGGCCACAGATCACAGTATTATGGTTTTGCCAGATGGGGACACCATACCCATACCCATGACACCTATACCCATAACACCGTGGTAACACATAACACTGTGTCACACACTAATCAGACTGGAAGTACTTGAATCGCTTTAGATTTCAGCCTCATTTATCTGTACCTCAATTGCTTTGGCTGTCAAACTGCCTCTCAGCTCTGCCCAAATTCAGTGATTCTCAGTGTGCATCTTGTTTTTCATTTTTCTTCCACTGGTGCATGTTATACACAGATCATGAATGCCTCCAAGTCAATGTTTTTATTACTTGAGCCTAGGATTTCTTTGAAGCTAGTATTATGCCTCAGCATGTTAAACTTTATCCTCTCTTTCTATATTCTCTCATCATTTATGATTAGTGATGACATCACTAAACTTCACAGCATGGTTTCAGAGGCAATATTCATGAGGCTCAACTTACAACAAGAAAGAGAATTAGATAGTTAGCC